CTCTCCTTTCCAGACCACCCACTTTCAAAAGCCATAGGCTGAGTTTTAGCCCGTATGGGAACGAAGCAAACTGTGTGAAATGGTACATGAAAGGTACGTCGTGATCCTCAGCGAACGCGCCCACTCCACGGCGTGTCTGGGAGGCGATGACCGTCTGCGGAGGACGACTTGGCTTTGCTCTGGTTCCAAACGTCCAAAAAGTTTTTGAACTTTCTGGGCTTCTGAAACCATCGTGAGAGGCCAGTTCCTTAACTGCGTCTCAAAATGGAGGGAATGGTCTTGGGTTGCCACTACCGCCGTGTCCGTATGCGTGCAGTCTTCTCTCCGGTGGTCATACCGCCCTGGAGCCTGTGCTGACCGTCAATGCCGCTGACACAATGTAATGTTATTTCAGAGCGGAACAAAAAGCTGAATTGGAATTAAGCAAGCTGATGTACAGATACCTGCACGTTAGAGCGCGACACGCTTAAATCCCCCACTTCCTGTTGGTGCCCTCCACAGGGCACTGAAGAATGACAGCACTAATGGAAAACAGGAAGTAGAGCTGATTCATGCTTCATACGGAAATATCACACAACTAACGAGCGGGGCGAACAAAAGAGAAAAGGCTTATTCCGTTTGCTAATTATTCTGCTCAGAGGACACCTCTGATAACACGGCTAGATTCATTTACCTTAACCATTGCTTTGCAGGTAAAAGCAGGCAATGGGTGGAACTCAAAACTTCCTCATATGTTTTAAGTTTTAGAGAAACAACTAACCAAAATAGACAATTCTTGGGTGTGTAAGGCTATGAATCTGGGGTCAAAGGTGATGTGTGATGTTGCCATTTGGCCCTTGAGCAAGGCCCTTAAAGGCTGCAGGGACACTCTGTGATTCTGCTCTCTGACACTCACTTCGGGCACTCTGGGAATCTGCTAAGTAAATAAATACAATCTTCTGTGAATTCGGGGGGATAATGATGATAATAACAACGATAACGACGATAACAATAAAATCACCACAGCCTGACATTCACCCACCAATCTGCCAGTCTGCATTTTCACCATCCTGTTTACGCGCCAAAACATCCCTGGGTAATGCAGGGGAGGTCCTGTGCCCAGCAGAGCACACCCACCCAGCTGCCTGCCGTTTACACAGTGCTACAAATCAACTGAAGGCAGAGGCTGATGTCCCAGCATCAATGAAGAGCATTACATGCTGTTAAAAGTCCCGGAAGCAAAGGGAAACAAACGAAGCTGTAAATCTCAGCGGCTAATCAGGGCCCCCGGCGGGATGGTGCCCAAGCAAGCTTCTCAGCCAGGATCTGTGTTTGTGCTGTGATGTCTCAGGTCTGTCGGAGGAGAACCATCCCAAATAGTGGAAGCTACACGGCCAAAAGGTGCGAGGTTCCTCACTGAGGGACATCCTATTGGACACGCTGGATTACAGTGGAGGAAGAGAGCTGGGACTGTGACATCACTGCTGTGCACCCTGTCCGACCCAGAGCACGTCCACAGCCCAAACTGGTGTAGATTGTGTCTCTGGACCCAACTGGAAGTTCTGGAATTGAGAAACGAGTGGGAATGCCATGGAAACCAACTGGATTAGGCTCTGCTCTGGTTCTTAGGATATTGAAGGAGAACTTCCACAAATCTCCTTGATGGAAAAGGTGCTCTGATGCTAACTGGTACTGACTACGACTCAGTGGAGGGACCCCACCCTCCCCCTGCAGAGACAGAGTCAGCTCTGAGCTCACAGGGGACAGGATCCAAAAATGAGACACATGGCCTAATAGATGAAGGTGGCATCCAATGGCTTGGAGAGGCATAGGATGGGGGGTGTTGCCAGGGTTACGTGGAGCTGCCTGAGAACAGGAAGCAGAGCAGGAAGCTCCTCCTCTGTACCTCCCAAACACCTCGTCCGGCATTTCAAAACAGAGAGGGAGATGCAGGACAAGAGAGACACAGAATACCACAAGTAATCCGTACGTTTCACTGTACTTCTCCTGAAGGACTAATCTCATCCCGAGAGTCATTGGAAGAAATCAATAATTCCATCACTGAACATATGAGATTCCCCCGAACTTCATCAGACTTTCAGGTTGCTGCTGTCGAACCCGTGACAAATCGCTACATCAAAGACCCTTCTGCACCAAATGTGAAAACCTGTATAATTTAGGTCAGCACTATTAAAATGACTGACAAGAAACTAAAAATAAACGTGAGATTTACTGAGTGTGCTGACATTTTTAATAAGTTTAGAATCAGTGGTCTAACCTGCCCAGTGCATATGAGGGACAGTAAGAGTTTAGAGAAGGAGCTTGTTAGCCTAACCCTCCAGCAGCCTAAAACCAATCAGGACACTCGACGTGCTCATCAAGGCCAAGGGTCTGATATGACCCCCAACCCAGCCTGATTTTCAGCCCTCCGGTGAGGGGAAACCCTAAGTCGAAGGACAGGAAGTCCGCCATACCAAAAATCAACTGATTTATACATGGCAAGAGCAGTGGGGAGACCCGGCCTGTGATCTTAAACGCCAATCACAAACGACGCCACCATTTCAGAGCTGTGACTCCGGGGAGACGTCGTCCTGCTGCCTCGGATCCCCTGCGGATATTCGGATTCAGACCCCAGGGGACTGAGCACCGTGAAGCTGGGGGAGGTGAGGACTAGCCAGCCGGCCTGCATGCAGAAACAGCCGGTTTCACAGAGATAACACGCGTGTGACACGGATGATCAGAACAGAAGGTTAAAGAGCTGCCACACTTTTAGGCGTCATTTAACAGAGATTCCGTACATACTACTACTGTGTATCTCCATATTACAATAAAATAATGTTATATAACGAAATTCATTTCATTACATAAGCACATACTGTACTGGCTGTTTATTTTAATCTTCTTTAAACTGGTGACTTAGATCCCACACAACAGTAAGCAGGGCAGGGAAAACAACACTAATGTGTGATTTGTTTTCCACGATGTGTGACGCACGCCGTCTTTCTGTCATGTCACTTATTACCGCTACACTGCATCACACACACGTGACAATCTGAAGTCCCCAAGTAAGCAAACGGATCATTAGTAGTCTGCTGGGGGTCTGAACCTAAAACATGCCCAGTTCGGTTGATCTAATATATCCATGGGCGTCTGTGCTATCGATTTTCCTGTTTCCGTTATCTATTAGTCGCCGCGCTGACAGAATTTATTTAACTTATAAATACAGTCCCTAAATATGCTCTCTACTGTGGAACTGCAGTCCCTGCAGAATTCCAGAACTTTCTAGAGTGTTCTGTGGCAGGTTTCTCGGGCCCGTGTATGATGGCTGTCGGCCTGCAGGACAGCCTCCAGTGCAGGACGGATTTTTAACAGCAAGCGTCTCTCAGCTTGTGCCCATGGGACGCCGACATCTACAGCAGCTCATCTATGAACTTCTGTCATTGGTCACAAACAAAGCGTAACAGGCCGCCGTTGGCGGGATGGATCTCTAAGGACCATCCGTCTTCTGACTGTCCTGGGAAGCAGAGGGCACTAGGCGGGGTATACCCTGCTCCCCAGTGTCCCCGATCGGCACCATTCCCAGCTCCAAGAGCCTCAGAAAGACGTCAGCGAAGATCGAGGTCCCTGCCTGGGTTACATTTCCATGGAGTGTTTTACATCTCATATTTCTTTGTTCGCTATCGAAAGGTACTTTTGGAGTCGAAGGGAGGAGCACTTTCGAAACTGAGAAGGGAACCAGAAAGGGTCACCCAGCACTCCAGGGCTCCAGCCAAACTCTCATTTCTCCCCCTCCACTGCTCTTACCTTTCATGACACAATATAGCATTGAGAGTGGGGGGAGTTTGGAGCAGCGCTGAGCCCTAAATCTGCCGCTGCGGCCGGCAGACCATCGGAAATGAGCGGCTCGTTTTCCATGATCAAGGCTGACTTCACAGACTGGACTGCAGTTTCAGCTCTGCTCACGTCTGGCCCTCGATCTGAGGCTCCGTCCTTATGGTCGGCCGTGCCGCTGCCTGGCAATGGGGGGAGGGGGGGGGTGGTGTTGGTCATCGGCCTGGGAATCAATAGCGGCATCCCTCATGCGACTAAGAAAACCTCTACTTACTTGTTGACAGCAGTCCCAGCAAAAACAAGTATATCCACTCGCCTGCTAAAATGTCTTTCTAACATTAGCTAATCAGGAAAAACCAAGTGCTTGTACGGAACACTGAGGCATCATGGCATATGATGCGCGTGACTATCTGAGAATGACACGCTGATAAGAGGAACAGAAAAAGCGCAGAGGATGTGTAGGTGCAATGTTTCTAAATTAGGCCTGTTAAAAAGTCATTATTTTTAACATTATAATAGCGCTGTTGTACCCGCACAGCTATGTAATGCCCATTCTGTGTATGGGGGTGGGAAGGGGGGGGTCAGCTAATATAGCCAACAGTCAAGAGAAGCAATCAGAACCAACAGCACAAAGGGACTCTATTGGGGGGGGAAAACGTGCCGAGCAGGAATGTTCCGAAGTCAGAGATCGTGCTCTCTGGTGCTGCTGGAAACGAGAGCCGTTGCTAGGATACGCTGAGGAGGAGGCAGAAAAACATCCGTGCAGGACCTCTTACGAAAAGAAAAAACGAAGGACAGGCAGGTCCCCTAGATCCCCGGGATGGGTGTGGTGCCACATTCAGGGTGGGTGACTGGCTTCCCGCTCGTCAGTGGGCCTGTCGTGTTGGTATTGGATGAGGGCACCCCCTCCCGGCAAGGCTGACGCAAGGATATGAAGATGCAGGAGAGCGGAAAGCGTGGCCATATCACCAGCCTAATTATCCACAAGTAGCTCACGAGCAGGAGCTGGTGTGGGGGACTGGGTCCCAGCTCTGGGTCCCAGCTCTCAGCTGCTGGTGACGTTACACGCCAGATAGCAGCTTCAACTTTTCATGCGATTCGCCAAAAACAACAGCCCTGCATGCAATGCGACTGGGAAGGCCAAGCTGGCATTCCCCCCCCCCCCTTCCCGGAGCCTGGGACATCCCTACCTTCTCCATATGAGGGCTCTGCTTTCCAAAGAACTGTCCCATGCTGCTGACAGAGCCTGAAAGGGAGAGAATCACACCATCAGGACCAGGACACGTCAGTCTGCTTCTCATCATTCTTCTCATCATTTCCCTATAAAATTCTGCGGTACCCTATCTGTCAAAGCAGGATCAGTACTGTTACGTCGCGCCGCCGGAGATTCTGAGGGATCGAATCTCACTTGAGCCGTACATCATCTCCTCTAGAAGCATGGCTTTCCAGCCACAGACCAAAGACATGCAGTTAGGCTAACTGGCAACCCTAAATAGACCAAGGCATCCCCGAAACCTTCTTAACGCTACCCTGTCAGTAAGTTCTACGTTAAAAGACAGAACTTACGAATGACAGGAGGCTTCAGGAAACTCACCCCAGTTCAGGTACCCTAGCCTTGTGCCCTATCACTGGTAACAGTTTTTAGTTCTAGACATGTTTACCAAACGCTACAAAGGGAACAACTAAAAATAATAACAAAAACACTGATGGAGGGTGTGATAGAACAGCGGGTAACAATGTGCGTAATATGCCAAAGGTCATAAGTTCAAAGCAGAACAGTGCGTTTGTAATACACACATATAGCACTTTCATTAAATAATACATTGTTATAAAACATTTTTCAACAGTAATTGCATTAAAAATATGTTCAGGTAATTATTTTATTATGATGACACTGACATAACCTTTGCTAACGGAAATAAATTACAGTAAGAAGGTTTTCTGCCAACTGAGAAAACCTTCACGTAACATTGACTAAAGTTCCAGAAAGTTCCGTGTTGGCTGGGATGCTGTCTGCCAGTGTCTGGGACAGCCCTCAGCCAGGACCAGGAACAGGGTTAGCAGATGGATAACCTGTTAGAATGGATCTAACAAAGAAACAGTCATATACACCTTAATGGGGTTACTGTTACAGTACAATCTGGAACCTGAACTTCAAACCTTATGATCACATGATCAGGTCCATAATCGCTGTGCAACGGGCAAATAAGTAACTTAAAAGGACTCCGCACAGCCCTTGAGAAGCAGAACTTTTTTTTTTTTTAAGTTTTACTACATTGTTAACAACTTAAAATTTAAAAACCACTGTCCGAGCACTTTGGAAGCCAAGGTGCATTAAATGAAATCTGCTTTACCTCTTCTGAACGAGCGTAATGTTTTAAAAGCCAGGAAAAGGGGGGATTTCTTTCTCCCGTCCATTTACATTCTGCATGTTTCCCCTGCCTGACAAGGTACCTGACGATGAAAGGCACTTAGCAGGGAAAATCAGGCCTCATTAGTTAATGATAAGCATGTGGAACAAAGAGGATGCCTTTAAAAAAAGAATGAAAGAACGGGTTAATGTGAGCAGTGTCTGGCATTTTCAAGAACAGCAAAAAAATAAATAAATAAATAGGAATCAGCTGTGATTCTTAGCACCTCCAGAGGGGCGTCCTCTAAAGCAGAGTCACCCTGTGACTCAGCTGGGAGCAGAAGTTAAAGCGGGATTCGGTTTAAGGGACGGCAGCCGATGCTGAGGTGTTCATCACTGCGGACTGGCAGCAGGACGACATGAGTAAATATCCAGAACACAAAGATCAGCGGGCTGAGCCGCAGAACCCAAGAGAGCATGAGCCAAGCTTTTAACCGTGTGTGTGTGTGTGCGTGTGTGCGTGCTCGTGTGTGCGCGTGTGTGTGTGTGCGTGCTCGTGTGTGTGTGTGTATGTGTGTGTATGGCCGTCCGCATGCTACTCCATCTCGTGACTCGGCACCAATCCCAGATGACAAACAGGAGCCTGATCTCGCCAAGTCCCCCTCCCCCCCCAGGCTACTCAAATAGAACATGAACACAACCCTCTTCAGGTTACCAGCAGCAGAAAGAAATAAGTAAATAAAATTAATCAAGGTCGGCCATATATTTCCGTGAAGGGCAGACATTGGTCAGTCTTCTCCTGCATCACCGCACAACAGCCTGGACCAGGGACAGGGGTCCTAACAGTGTGTAGACTGGGGATGTAAGACTGTCAGGTTAAAACACACACACACACACACACACACACGAGTTCACACACAGACACTCTCACGACCCACTGCAGCAGGCACCGCGGCCTCACACCAGGTGGTCATGTGTTTAAATCCACTCTGTCGAAGCACACTGTGAACCTGACGGCACAAGTGCTACTGGTGATGTTTCACACACCGGCTTCGGTGCTCCTTTCTGCGCGGCTGCGATCGTCCTGAGAGGACTGTGTGCATGTGGGTGTCCTGTGATGCTTGTGTGACTCTGCATATGTATGTATACAGAGATTTAGAAGTACACGGGGTATGAACGATGTCTGCTATAAACAACTCTTAGTTTTAATATTTGCTTGTTATTTTAAGGAAGTTCCTGATTTGACCTTTATTTAACAGCTGCTTTTGTCCAAAGCGAGGTTCCGAGAGCAGACAGTGTCCCTGAAGCAACAGCGGTTAAGGGCCTTGTTCAAAGCCCAAAGCATGTGGCTCAGTGGGCTAAGCCTCTATGGCGGTGATCAGGAGGTTGGTGGTTTGAGTCCCAGCTACTGTGGCAGGTGGCTGCCCATCACTGCCGAGCTTACTCTCACTTACATGTGTCATGAGGAAGAGGGAATGTGAGAATTTCCACACAGGGATCAATAGAGTGTCATATTTATATAACTGCGGCAACCACGGGATTTGAGCCAGCGACCATCTGATCCATCTGCAGCTGCAGAGGCATCATTGCCCCTTTCATTAGCCGCCCATGTCCAGAAAGCTTAAATACTCAGCTGGCAGAGAAATCTTATTACTCTTGCGGCCTTGAACAAAGCCTTTAACCTCAGCTGCTCCGGGCCGCTCGCTGACTCTGTATCCTCAAGCTTTTCTCGCTCATATATCACTTTCGACAAAAAAATCCTGATAAACAAGTATAAATCTTAGATTCTGCTTCTTCGTTGCCTTTTCAAGTCACAGGGAAACTTGAAAAGGAGAAAACGCGATTCTGCGGTAGGACAGCCAAGAATCCCCTTCTGCATTTGCATTTCATTTGCAAGTGGCATGAAAGCGTACAGTCTAGCAAAAACGTCTGAGTGAGTCTTTAGATTCCTATTCGGTTCAATCCTCCAGTGAGGGCGAACTACCATCTCAGTCACCAGTATCCCAGCCCGCAGCCCAGCAGCCCTAGAAAAAGCGAGCACCTCCTGTTTATCCTCTATTCATTTTTCTTGGCGAGAATACAGACAACGGCACCACTTTCACTTAGGGGCAGATTAAAAATGAAAACAGGGGAGAGACACAAAGCTGTGGAGTCGGTGAAATCTTGCTGTACGCAAACACCTGGAGCACAGATACAGCGCGTGACTTCTGAGGCACAGAGAACGAGCAAACTGCTGCAGGTGCACTGACACACTCGTGTGTCGCTCAAAAATGGGAGGTGTGTTTGTTGTTCAACTGTCTAATCACATGTCGCGGGGCTACAGTCTGCTGTGGGGCGACGGCCTGAACGCCTGGCAGCGGTGACCTCGTTCCGAGCGGCAGTAGCACAGGCATGACTCCTCTGACCTCTTCCTTCCGACTGTCTCAGATTACTTCCTGTTTTTTTACCCTTTCGCTTGTTAAAACTCACCGCCTCCGTACCTCGACAAAAACACCTTCTCTTTCAACAGAAACACGGAGGGAAAAGAGTGAGCAACAGTCCGTACATTCCTTCCTGGCGTGCCCAAGCTTCACCCCCCCCCCCCCGTTTAATGTGACAGACACGTAGAGGTAGCTGAATAATAAAGGGAAAAGGCCCGGTCACAAACCAACTCTCAGATCCAGGTGGCTGAGAAACTCACAGCACACTAAAGAGAAAAGGGGAAGTGATAATAGGGATATGGTGATTTCCCAAACCACAATTAAGAAGACTGGGAATGCAGTTAATAGCCAACATTCAGAAGGAAATAAATAAAAATAAATGAGGTGGAAGACACTATACCTACGTCTGGGCGCCCTGTGAGGGACTGGCTTCCTGTTCAGGGTGCATCCCAGGCCCCTCTGCGACTGCATCCAGGATAGCAGTGGATGGATGGTTAGGTGGGGGGTGAAAGTCTGCACCCCACCCCACTGAAACTGTGACCATCGCCTGGGGTTTCAGCACCCAGGCGTTTCAGACCAGAATACATCACCCGAGATAAAAACATAAATCCTGAAACTGAACTATTCAAGCCGGCCGCTCTGAGGGTATTCTAGGGTATGGCCTCCCTTACGGGCGAGATGAGACGGCAGGGAAACCGTACAGGGACAGGTGGCCAGAATCAGCATTCAGTCCCGTCACCTCAGCATCATGCTTTCTGGGTATCAAGGCCCCAACAGTGACGCCAGCGACGTGACACAGTCAGTCACTGAGGAGGTGCTGCACGTACGACCCGTAAACATGGCCGATCCGAGCGAATACCGGCTTCGGGGTAAATTATTCTCGTTAATAATGCAGGACACACGTTAGCTTTGGCGCTGCTCTGTAAACATTTCCATGCAACCTAATTTAATTCCTGATTACATTCCCGTCAATTGTGAATCAAAAGCTACGCGTTTCCAGTAGATACTCAGAAAGATGGAAGACCTCAGGTAGCCTCCATATCAGAAAATATTTGTTTTTGTAGCAACAAAGAGACAATTTACAAACTCCTGTGTTGTTTTTATCAGACTAAAACACCCCAGGGCTACACTGACGTCCTGGATTTCCTTTTTAACCAATGGCAGCTCTGCTCACGCATACCTGGCCCCGCCCCTCCATAGAGCAGAGAATCTGAAGAACGTGTTTTGAAGATGGACACATACTTGGAGTTAAACTGTCATGCTCGAGTGAGCAAAGGCAGATGACCAGCTGGGTGACCAAGGCCGAGTGCCCAATTCCACACCTCCCATGAGTATTTATGTCCGTTTTGTCTCTCAGCCCTGACCATGTGCCCTTGCCGGCCTTCACACGATCCCCCCTGGGGGTTTCACCTGTGTGTGTTCCTCTCTACCATTTGCTAAACCTGCAGCCCACACAGAATCTCCACTGGCCCACCTGTTTCTGTGGTTCTGTTCGCCACTCCTGACTGGATGCTCACATTTCATTGAACACACCAGAGCAATGAATCAAATTTCAAGTTACCATGGAAAAAGGCAAATCTTATGCTTATTTCTGACACAAGGAGATGATTAGCACCTCAGACTGTGACTGGTGCTAAATTTCTAGATCAATGATCTCTGGACTTTCACTTTAAAGAAAAGAAGCAAAAAAGTTTGAATCCTAAAGAGACACTGTGGTTGAATTAGTGATGCCCTGAATATGACATTTAGGGTTTGAGAGAAGAGGCTGGTCTTTAGGTCTGCAGGAGGGACCTTTTGAACTTCAGAGGAAGTTAAGCAACACTGCCCTGTTTGCTATCCCTGCCACCATTAGCATTTGGGGGGGGGGGGTGTTTTGAGGGAGGTCCCATGGTGTCTTTGATTCTATGGCTTTGAGACGGGGGGAGGGGGGGGGGTGAAATTGCTCTCATGAATTCAGTTTCAGCTGACTGACATTTTCAAGAGTTTCGCTACGTCTCGCATTTTCCCTGGCGCACAGCAGAGCAGGGTTCTCACCTCCGCCATAGGAAAGGGCAGCTAGGTAACCCTATGAGCCGTACGATAAAATAATGAGAGGCTCAGATCCCCAGCACTGATGGGATCCGGAGTCGCCCCTCTGTCCCACTATGGGCTGCAAGGGCACCGTAAAGGTTCCGAGGCCCTTTATGAACTCTGTTGACCTTGAAACCTAAGAAAAACCAGCGACGGCCTGGTGACGACTCACAGATAAATAGCGGCAAAATCGATTTACGTGGCAGATAACGTGGCAACAGCAGCTTTCCCAGGCAGAGCGTGTGAATGTGCAAGTTGACCCTCAATCTAAAAGGTCCATCCAACGTATGAGAAACATCACTCCAGTCAAATTACCTTCCGCGCGTCCCCCCCCCCAGTGGACATTATGTATCAGAACGGACTGATGTCACCGGCACCGCAGAAGCAGATTATTAACATTATCATGCTGACCGTGAAGCGTCTGACCGTCCAACAGAGGTTCAAATTACTGCCAACTCAAAAGCCCTCAAAGGCAGAGTGGACACAGCAAAGCATCTCATGGGACCTCTGCTGCGGGCTCAATCATCTGGGTGTGTGGAGGACTGATGGTCATGGTCTCACCATCGTCAGGAACACCCACCTCCAACCAAAAACAGATTACGCTAAGCTCTGGAAGACACTCAGCGAAAGCCACCGCCCTCGAGGCCACTTGCACAGGTGAAGCTGAAGGGAAGCATGTCTTTTTTGGTCATTAGAATTAGAATTTAGTGATCAGTGGTCATTGTTGACACACCACAGCACAACAACAAAATGTGTTCTCTGCATTTAGCCCAAATGTGACGTCGTGACATAGCAGGGGGCAGCTAATTCAGCACCCGGGGAGCAGTGCTGGGGGCGGTACCTTGCTCAGGGTACCTCAGTGGTGCCTTGTTGGTCTGGGATTAAGCCACCACTGCCCACCAGCCCAGTTCTACAGAACACATGCCATCTGGGATCTGGCACCAAAAGTGTTGTGTCTCTGTTTTATTTTTATGTTTTTTTTTGGTAATACGAGTTATGTGAGATCATTCTGGCCATCTGGTGCTCTCCTTGACACGCGGCTCATCCTATTTCTACGGAGCACATAGAGAGGCCAGCTACACAGCAGGAAATTCCCGCCAGTCCGGACGGGGCGGGACAGCGCATGTCCAAAGTGACAGACTATTAACTGTCAAAGGAGGTGAATGCAGCAGTGAGGCTGCCTCACGCGGGGCTCGCTGTGGCCGCCCCCAACACTTGTGTGGAGACTTGCCTCTGCTCTGCTGCCTGAGCTTATCTTCTGTGTCTGGGCTTGTCAGATCATTCACTGGCAGACTGGAGAGATGAAGGGAACTATTTCACGGCAAAGGAACGTGTTGCGCAACCAGGAATGCGAGGGGGGGGAAAAAAAAAAACTATAGAAAGCCATGTGTGCAAATAGCAGACGTAAACAAGGGCTTAATTTCACCAACACCTAAAACACAACTCAACACGCTGAATTGGAGCCGAAAGCTTCTTGCCAAAAGAGAGAACACCACACAGTGGCCTCCGTAACGGTTCTCAAGGGAAGTCATCTGCCTGAGCTAAAGAAGTTGTGTAATTTCTTGACAAGGCACCAGGCCAGAGTTTACGAAACACTTTTGACGTTATGCATAACAAGGCAGAAGCTCCAATCATCTTCAGCTATAAAGGCAGTCCTCCATCTCAGCCACAGGAGTGGAGGAATCTTTCACCCATCATGCTACCACACTCATGCACAGACCTGAAGTAGCACAGCCTTCCGGAGAATTCTGCTACTTTCCAAGGAAAGATGTGCAAGAAATGGAAACTCCACGTTAAATTCCCCATCAGCATCGTCCCTAGAAATTCAGCTGATCCACCACAGGCTATAGAAAAAAATTCTGGGTGTCGTCAGTCAACCTTAACATGCTAAGTAACCCGCAGGTCCACGCTGAGACGACACAGAATTTAAATCTTCTCCCAAACACCATCTGTTTTGAATCACATTACAGTTTTAACGCCGGACACACATACATCAATTTCCCGTAAGTACTTACCCACTTAGGCTTGTCATCATGCCCAAGTAACAAAGTCAATGAGAAGCTGGCAATAAACATCAGCTAGGAGCCAGTCTGAAACACACGATCTCAATATACACAGACCGGGGGTCGTATTCAATGCCACGTCCATTCGAGTGGCAGGCGGTCCCACTACCCACTGCGCAAAGCAATGACTCAACACCTCTCTCAAGAATTCACAACCCAAAAACCATCAGCGACACGTTCCACATCCACTCTACCTGCTTCATAGTTCAATGTGCAGATTAACACCTACCTCGCCCAATGCCCCAACACCTCTAAACTCCCAAAAAACCAACAGCTAGCTTCACCCTACGAAAAGTTCGACGGTTGATCTACAGATAAGCTGACAGGCTGTGCAGGTCCCTAGCAAATGGTTCACTGCTCTGTGCTGTAAATGGAGTTTTCATTACATGTCACATGGTTCATATTACCAAGTAATATTTAAAGTGTGTTTCATATTTATTCATAACGACTGGATAATACCTATACTGGACATGACTTAACACCCTGACCCTAAGTTTTAACGGTGTTGCGTGTTGTGAAAAGTTACTCTTCTGTTTCGCACCAGTTAATACACGTTTGTTGTCAACACACATGACTTTCACATTGGGGCCCCAGTTTCTCGAGACTAGTGGAAATTACAAGGCTGTCGACTGCGCCCCGAAAGCTTCTTGCAAGCAGTAGCGCGTCGGATCACTGAAGTTTAAGTGATTTTGAGCCCGTTTTCGGTCAGTGCGCGTCCACGCCGCGACGCAGGGGCGCCAGCTGGCTCTCCAGCCGCACGGGACCCCGCCGGAGCTGGAAACCCAAATGCACACGTATGTGTGAAAAACATATGCGCGAATATAACCCAGGAATGCTACCTTTAAGGTGTGGTAAAACTGCGTAGTACCGAGGTGGGTAAGTAAGTGGACGGTCTGCATGCATTAGTACGAGCCTACGGTGACATACACGGACACCCTCGTATTGCCGTACATTTGCGATCGAGGAGCTGGATCGCACGGAGGCTCCTCGCCTGTCAGCCCCTACCTGCCTGCCTGCGCTGGAGATGGAGGGGGGGTCGCCCGATCATATGCATTATTGTAAATACAATGCGTACATACGTACCCCTGAAACGGACTCAGCGCGGCCAGGCACCCCTGCTCCCCTCCGGATCCTCGCGGAAATAAACGCCTCTCGTAGCGGCTCCTAGCACGCTTTGCTGTCCTCCCCCATTAGACGGTAAGAGCATGCCTCGCTGCTTCCTGTTTCTTTTTTTAGCCGCAGTGATGTATTTGCGGGGTGGGGCAGTTTCTTTTTTTTTCTTTTTTTTGCGTGATCGGGGGCTTTCAGAGCCACCTCGCCCTGCCCGTCGGGTTACGATACTAACGCCGAAGGCGCTGGACCTGGCGGTCCGAGCGGCGCGTTTCTGCCCAGCCGCGTCCCGATCGGTATTAAACGCGACAATGTTCGTGTGCATGTGAGCCTCACAGTAGACAGTTCGGGCGCTTCCTGTACGTGTCTAAGCGCAAAACTGACACTTCATCCGAATTCTATCATGTTAGGATTTAAATGCAACTAATTATGCGGTTTTTAGACTATCATTCCAGTTTCTATAAGTTATAACCTCCTTCTCGTTGTAGTAAGAAAAAACAAAAAGTTTCCTTGCACCTTAATTACACGCTCGGACACGCGGTTTGTTTTCTACAGACTTACTGCATGTACAACGTTCCCACATTCGAACCTATGTACCGTGTTGAGTTTCTTCTCATGCCTATTAGCAGTCATCAGCATTAATAAGTAGAAACGACAATAATCGTAAACTTCATTAAATTGATCTACATAAAACAAAATTCCTCTGTAAATTGAGGAAGTTTCATTGTAGCCTATTTATATTTTAATTTGTTAATGGTGCCGTTGGACTGCTAAACTTAAGGTTCCGACGTCTGATTCTTTGAAGTGTTTACATGAGGTGTATCAGGTCTCTGTCCAGTTACACCTGTCACAGCACATTTAGTGTATGAAGAAACCTGGTTTGTGGCCAGCGACTGTGCTGGAAACTGGAAGGTCATGGGTTCAAAGCCTGCTGATCTGTCTTAATCGCTATGCTATTTTTAGTAGTATGGATAGCTGTGGAATTGGACTTGTAATAAAAAATGACTCTTTGGTAACCACACTGCTGCTCTCTGCACATGAGGAAGTCATGCACGTCTATGGAGGTGTTCTCTAGCACATCTGGTCCGAGGACTGCATAGGCTCCCAGACCCCTAATAGCCTCAATTTACAAACCCACCTTCACTACAGGAGACTTTTCTCAGAAGCTGATCTGGAGCCATGACCTCAGGCGTGGTAATATGGCCTAACACTTGTGTCTTGATGACTTTGATGTTTACCTTTGCTGTGCTTAAGCAGAAAAAAAACAACAGAAGTTCATGTCAAACAGCCAAACAACAAAACTCAAGCCATAACCGTATGTTTATAACCTTTCTCTGCTGTTGTTCTCTTATTGCACCCGTTTTGTTTTTAAATCCACACAGAAGCTGCACTCTGCCCTCTTATGTTTGCCTTTCCTTGCCTTGGTTACTTTTTTATACTTCTGTTCTGCAGTGTCTTTGGCTGTCTTGATAAACCATTTACAAACAAATTCATTATTCATTTTCACCCCCCCCCCCCCCAGAATGTTTCTCTGTCACCCACTTGTCTTCAGATGTGCACGAGGTATGAAATCTGTTTGAAATAAATGTTTCAGCATTTTTTTCCCCCTCTAAAGCAGCAGGCCAAGTAGATGAGGCCGTGTCACTCGTCGGTCTGATGATGACTAAGGATCGATATGGTGCGTGGGGGGGTGGGTGTGCCTGCCCTCCTCCCACTGCCGAGTTTGCAGGCTCCCGATAAACTCCCTCTCGGTAAGCAGGCTAAGGGGAGGGAGGCCGGAGAGAGTGGAGCCGCGAGCTGGACCTTCCAGCGCCGTACGGACCTACAGCATCCCCTTCGCAGGTTCTCTTTCCTCCGAGGTTCACCACCAGACCACATGTCTAAACATATGATGAAGCGAAATCAGACACTGAGGGATGCTGTCATCTCTGCTGCTATTCTTATGATGTGCTGACCGATTGTTTCTCCACACTTCTGTTATTTTCTCTCAATTTGCCCTATAAAAACAAGTACAGTGTGTTAAAAAAACACTACGGTTTTAATCCTGTTTTGTTTATTGGAATTGAATGCCAGCATTTATTAAATTAACTGCATCCAGTTGTGTTTGAGGCTAGAAAAGTCATTTAAGAGGCAGTTTCAAAGCAGTAATTCTAGGCCACCATACCCGGGTATCCGCAGCAGTTTCACTTCTGCTCAAAACCAGTTGCTGTTGTTGTACTGGAGTCAGAGCGAAGGCAGAGTTGGATTTAATGACTGCTATGGATTCTACTGCTCTCCAAGGTCTAAGCAAACATCGAATTGCCAGCAAAGTAATGGGAAATTCAGTCCAATAGTCCAAATGTTCCCCACAATGTAATAAAAATCTGTTTTTTTATGTTATGGGGACCATTTTTCAGGTCCCCACAAAGATCTGTGAACGCAGTCAAAAAATTAAAAATGCCAAAAGTTGGTTAAGGTTGGGGCTGGGTAGGGGTTAAGGTTGTCATGTTGGAATTAGAGTTTTCCCCTTAGAAATGAATGGAGAGTCCCCACAAAGATACAATTACGAATCCTGTGTGTGTGTGGTATTATTTAGATCTGCACCACTTCCTAAAATTGCAATTCAGATTCACACTATGAATAATAATCATTACAAATTGATCTAGGCTGTATCTTACTGGTCAACCATCAAACATAACAGCTTGGTTTCAGGTCAGCTTCTGGTAAAAAGTTCTGTTTGAAAAATAAAGCTAAAATGCTCTGATGTCGTCTCTAGGGGGCACCCCACCTTGCTACCCTTCACGGTGAAGGACAGCCCAGAGACTGCTACCAAAATAGACCAGTAAAGTTAAATGGAAGCTGCACTGTGACCACAGCTGTCCAGACAGGCCAGACTGTGCAGAACTGCCTCAAAGGCTTTTCACAGGTGAATAAATGGCACCACGTACAAGAGAAAACTTGACTGGAAAATGAGAGAAAAAAATCGATTTTTTTAATGAATATCTTTTCAAGCAGCCCGTCACCATGGAAACCGTTTCGCCCAGGGGTCTGACAAAATCTGAATTAGGTTTCCTGTATCATTACCTGGAGTGCAAAATTCCAAATCACTCACGATAATTATGACTGAAAGTAAACAATGAACAAAGACTGACTAGATTTGTTATGGCTGTGAAGTCGAACAGCGGCTCGGGGTACGCTCTTTGGTTAGTGGACCTCGAGGCTTTCAAGAGGATTAGAGATGAGCTATACTCCAGCAGCGTGACTGGCAGCAGTCCCCCAAACTAAAGTTTGACTGACCCACAGAATATTAACCATGAAAACTGAAAAAGTCCCAGAAACTTTGGTGTCGAACTTTTATATAATTTGAGACAACTTCTTGTCATTTATTATGACGTCTGTTGACTTGTCTTAGTTGTCAATGTAATTAGCTCCTCATGTTATCGACGCATGAACTGTCAACATCGTGACTGTTAACAACATGAGGAAAGTTACACCTCAAGGGCCTGTCCGTTGTGGCTATCATCTTCTCTCCGGTCACACAGTTCTCTCTGCACTCCCTCACACACCATTAATCACATACAGAACATTCAACAATTTATACTTCAGCAGACTGCAGGGTCAACGTCCCAGAATTCCTTGCTGGATGAAGACGGCACAGACAGCTATAAACCAGTCTACTGTGTCATAATTATCAAATAAATCAAATGAGTTACAAAGTGTTTCATATACGACAGATTGTAATTCGAACAGAACATAAGCAAATCGTTTGTGTGAAGATTTATGACAATGAAACATACCCACTGTGTTTAAAATAAATTAGGCTGCTGTTCACGTTCTACCAAATGATTTTAATTGTTCACTACTTATTAAATATTTTTGGCCCACCTCTATGATGAATGATGTTTCAGATTAATATTAATATAAAGTAAATTAAATTAACTGGAAACAATTATAACAAAGGTTCCATTATACATAAATCTGTACTGTTTAAAGAGGAAATACAGGGATTAGAGCAGTTTCCTAGCTCTCATATTACATGATTAGATGGCAGTTTTCCAGTGTAGGGGCCTGTTTGATTGGTAATCTGCTGTCCTTAACAGAACTGGGAGCGTCCTGTGTTACACAATCAATCCTCAATCCCCATGGTGACTGTAAACTGGGGTTATCAGTCACACATCAGGTCATGTGCCCGGACCACCCAGATGCCCCACTGGACATTACCTAAAAACTTCCGGAAATAAGATAATGGATTACCTGGATGTTTTTGCAATGCCGCCGTATCCTGCCATGAACATGCAATCTCAGGTAACTTATTTTGGGAACAGAAATTTGTATCCTGCAAATGTACAATATATAATAATCGGATCTGTCCATCAGCAGACATTTAATGTTGTAGATTTTAGGTGATTTAATGCATTTTTTTTTGTCGTTTGTCTCAAATCTTGAGCATTCCACAAATTAATGAAAATTCAAACTTGGTCATGCATGTAATGCAAGGCTGTAATTATAGTATATATTGTTGGAGATTTGTCCCCCCAGTATTCAGGTGTGCTCACAATGTCCCCCTGAATATATATTATAATTACGGCCTTAGTCCCCCCCCCTCAGTGTTGACTCCATGGCTACAGCCTTGACCTAATGGTCGTCTGTCTGGAGTAGTCAGCTAAGAACGTAGCAGTAGCACCAGAAGGTGTATGTGTTTTAGCCCCAAAGTCACATGGGACCTTCACAAGGTAAACAAGCAAATATATATTACCAGAGGCAGAACGAGAAACTCTGGGGCCCCTGACAAAATGTTCTATGAGAGCTCTTAATAATCACTATTTTCGAATAGACAAACCATTGCTGAATAACATGGTTATGGAAAAAGTTAGAATAGGAGCAGATCCAGGTGACAGAGAGATTTTATTAAAAGCTCCAATTTAACACCTGCTGGGCAAACACATTCAAAGCACCTTCTCACTGACCAGGAAACACTGTTTCATACCATTCACACATCCACAGTGATGAGCAGCAATTAAGCATTAACAAATTAACTTTCACTTAACAATGAACTGCATACAGATGAGTAACAGGCTTGTCTATTTTATCTATTTTTCTTAACTTATTTACTGTACAGCACTTTGGTCCTGTGCTGGTTGTTTAAAGTTCTTTATGAATAAAATTGGATTGGATTGTCAGCGGTCTTCACCACAGCCTAGAACATCTTCACCCTCAGCTTCATACGATGGACTAGGGCTGCATGACATTACAACACTGAATGGGATGCACATGCAATGGCAAGGATCACAATAGTCAGACGGGCTGAGATTAGGCTTGGGCGGTGTCTAATTTTT